ACCTTCAGGTTCTGTGGCAGGGTGGCTACGAAATCGCGAGGGTATTAACTTTGGAACAAGGCCTCGTTCAGGTTTTCCTTGAAAATCTAAAGAGCATGACTAAACGTGAAATGACATTTGTTAGTCATTATCTCTTTGCATTTATCAGTCATTATCTTTGTCAATACTTACTTAATTCGATTAATTAACAAGACCATGCTACGTTCATTCTGCTAAGAATATTTTATTGCTTACAGGAAAGAGGAAATAAATTATATAACTGTTTAAACAAACATAATTGAGTTCGATATTTTAATATTTAAATGATGTTTAATACTTACAAATAGATTCCGTTTAGTAAATATGAGTACATATACAGAAGTAAGTGTATAAGCAACAAGTTTAGACATACTTAGTTAGCCCACACTAGACTTCTTTTGTGTGTAATACTAAATTCACCTGTTTTGCAAATAGCAGGTGTATACATTCATTGTAAAAGGTTATTTTAATTAGCAAGTTATTTTTATGTTAATTCTCTCCTGTAACTACTATTTGTTCCATCAATCTTACCAGAATCTAAATTAGGCGAGATTTAAATAAAAAGCGAAGGCGTAAAGAGGGAGTTTGGTAACAAACACACTAGGAAAGCTGTTTCTCTCGCGAACCGTCTTCCTGCTTTTCGAGGTAGTTTTCGGGAATGTTTTCTGGTATTTGACAGCGATTATGTGCAGTGATTGCGAATAATTGGAGGCAGGTTATACATGCAAACATTTAAGTATTTGGTATTCGCCAAGAAGCCAATTCGCTGGTCAAGGATTAATGGATAAGTTTTTTTATAATCACCGTCGAAACGGTATAGTGGTTAGGGAAGCCTACTGCGGCACTGAAGGGCCCGGGTTCATTTCCTGGAGAAGGAATGATTCTAACTGTCCGACCCTTCATAGGAGGGAATAATGGTCGCCTATTAGGTGTCACCAGAATAAAATGGCCACGACTTCTATCCTTAGGAGCAGCCACTGCTAAATACGCAAGTGCCCGCCATTAAATTTAAAAAAAAAAAGAAAAACTGTTTTTGGTGACCCCTAGGCTCTCGACGTCGAAAAAATGGAATTCACTCGTACGCCCGTAACCTTAGCTGACTATCACTGTGTACCTGAGCGCATTTTGCAACAAAGCCGAACATGCAAAAATAATCCAAATGTTTCGATAAAATCTACTTTTTATTGAAATATTTATTAAATTCTTGCGTATGTTGTTTAAATATTATTTCTTATAATACAAACAAGAAATTTAAATACTTACGATTAAATAAAAATTCGAAATTAGTTAATTTGCAGTGAATTAGCATAACTGAAAACTGATTAAAGATGGTAGAGGACATTTTTAAAAGGTAATTCTTGTGTGTAATAAACACTGCTATCATTGCTTGAGGAAAATAAATTACTTTGTGCGGTTTGATAGTAAATAAGTGACTATAATTGTAATAATTGACATAAATAAGGAAAATTTTACTGCTGAATAGAGTTTAGATGTCCAGTCCATCTTTTTCAAGTGGAAAATAATAGAAATTGTAGTGCTTTCTGAAGAACTTGTAGGATTCAGAAGTCAAACAACAAAAATCAGCGTTAATTCACAAAATTTTCACAGGACTAGTTTCGATGGTTTTACCGAACCATCATCTTCAGCTGCAAAACCGCAAATGAACAAGATAAGAAATAATGTTTAGATAAGACAAGAAAGCCTGGACAAGAATAAGCAAGTGGCGCCATCTGTTGGCGAAACCAGAACTAAAACATAATTTCTCTAAAAGCCGAAGGCAAATTTGGATTGGAATTAGGATCGTTAACTAGAACAGAAAGATTTTTATGAATGTGAAATGCCTCTAGAAAATCCAGTTCTCCAATGGAAGATGTTTTTTGAATAATTTTGGCAGCAGAAAAATTGAAAGTGTGATTTTCGGACCAACAATGTTGAGCAACAGAAGACTTCTGTGTTTCCTTTTTTCTAACATATGCCTCATGTTCTTTGACGCGAAATTTTAAGGCTCTCTTAGTTTGGCCAATGTAAATTAAACCGCACTGGCAAGGAATCCTATAAATACCCCAGGAATTCATATCCGGGATGGGGTCCTTGAGTATAGAAGTTGGAATTTTATTGATGGGAGAATAAACAACCCCGAAGGTAAAATTTCTGCAAAATATGTGCAACTTTATAGCTAATTGATGGAAAGAAGGGAATGACAACAGAATTTTTATAATCTCCTAAAATAAGAGTGTGGCTTTTAGTGTGTTGAGATGAGAATTTTTTAACTGCTTGATTAATAATGTTGGGTGAAAAGCCCCTGTCAATAGCTATTGCTTGTAGGACTTGATGTAAATAAAGAGATAAGACTTGGTTTTTCAACGCATTCAACAGGAACGGAGGGGAAGATGCATCATTAACAACATTGCTAATGTTCAAAAATTTTCCAAGCTTCTTCTAGTAAATCCAAACTGAGATATGAATTATGGCAAGCAAAAATTTCGGTCTCCAAAATTTACAATTTGTTATTCCAACATCCCAAAGACAGAAATGATTACTTTATCGAAAACGTGGCCTACCAGTGATCCAGCGGTAAGAGTAGCTAAGCAGTGCTAGTTCAACTGAGGTTCGAATTCCAGTAAACGTGCTAGCTGAATACATGTTTTCATGGTTTTTTTTCAGCGTATAATGTAGATAACAAGTTTCTGCTGGGAAGCCTTCCAAGAAGGCATCGCTCCCCTTAGGCCCTCATGTGCTTTGTCGTCATGAAAATAACTAAAAATTATCGAAAGAAAAGGTAGAAATTATTATTTTGCATTAAGAGATAAGTGTTTGCCTATTTTTATTAATCATATCTCATATATCAAACGTCATTTACTAACTGTTATTATTGCTTAGATGCACACTGACAGTTGAAAATGCTTTATTTGAAAAAGTGGCGACTTTCCTGTGTAATATCGCACCTGCTATAAGTTTATTCCAAAGGTTTGAAACACCAACATAAAATTCTGTTTCAAAGCTGTTAAGAAAATAAATCCAGAACAATTCTCTTTTGAAGCCAGGCCCACCAGCAGCCGAGCGGTAAAGACGCTGAACACTGGTAGCTCTGTCCAAAGTTCTAATCGCGTGACTTCGAACCTCGGTCCAAGGTTCTAATCGTACCAGATAGTTTTTCTTAGAAAGTCCTCCACGAAGTCATCCCTCCCTCTAGGTAGATAGCTCTCAAGGCTTTGCTATAATTAAACCAAACCTTTGACAACAAGCTTCTCTTGATATTATATGTGACAAAAATAAAGAATATGTAAAAGATTAAATTAGCAGTTTAAAAGTAAATTTCCCTTCTGTATTCTAAAAATTGTAACTTCTATTTGCACTGTGTCATTTTCAGAAAAATCTAATTCTGATGATGTAAATGGAACTAAAACCCAAAATTTAACTAATCACAGATTAGCTGTACTTTGTGCACTTATCTTGTATAAATAGCTAATAACTGCGTAGTTTCTTTCTGTTTGGACTCTTCGCCTGCAGCTTGTCGTGCAGAATCTGGTAGCTATTCGTCATTATTTAAAATTTAATTGCATATCTAAAATTATGGGGCACGTTTAGCATTCCCTAATCTTCTACAGTTATGTATTAAAAATTCGCCATTCAAGAATAAATGATGTTTAACTATTAAACTGGTCGTGCTTCTAAAATGTCATCCAATCATCCATTACGCCGTAATTCCCAACCATTTACGCAGCAGTTTTTCCGGCCATGACTAAAAGTGAATTGTTTTCAATCTTCCGCTAAAGGTATAATTATTACACACACACACATATATATATTTGGTAACCTCTTCCATAAATATATATACAGAGAAGATCTTGAATTTATATATATATGTATATATGTTACGGTGAAACACCGAAATCTGGAGAATGTCGACTTTCACCGGTGAATGTCAACATTCACATAGTCCGAAATATATTCCAAATACTCTTATTTCTGACTTACACCGGTCAATGTCGACATTCACCATGTACTAATGGTGAATGTTGAACATATAACAATATTATATTTTCTTTTCCGTAATTCAGTCGCGAATAAACGCACTTGAAACTTGAAATAAGAACTTAAGAACATGAGAACCTAAAACACACAATACATTCAAAATGAGAAAGGAAAATAATAGAAGTTAAAAACTTACTTAATTATACAGTACGTTCTAAATGAGAAATAAAATAACAGTCATAAAACCTTACTAAATTATGTGATTCTAATCTTATTTATTGCAACAACTTAAACTATAATGGCACTTTATGACCTCTCTTTTCGACTTTCACCAGAGCATATCTGTGATTGTCGACCTACACCGGTGAGGGTCCGAATATACAAGAATGTAGTGAAATATTCGGTCTTTCACCGACGTATTTGGTGAATGTTGATATTCTCCGGTGAAAGTCGACATTCCCCAATTTCGGTCTTTCACGGTAAAATATGTTTATACACACCTTTTTGGTAACCTTCTTTCTCTCTCTCTCTCTCTATATATATATTAGATGAATTTTATTTCAAATCCAGATTAGACGAATGTATTAAACCTTTCCATTAAACATAGTAGACTTATGCCTAATTCTAATACTGAATATTCATGTGCTTATCATATAATAATTTTCATGGAATCGAAATGATTATTTTATCGAACAGATAAGACACAACCAAAATAACGGCAGGACTTATTATTTGCATAAGGACTAATTCATTTTTGTTTCATCCTTGTCTGGAGTAATATCAAGAACTGGGCTTCTTATCCAGCTCCTGGGATTTGAGCCGGGTTTGGCGGCGTCTAAGACCAGTGGCGTCGTTCGAAAGGCCGCGTCGTTTGCTGATAGAGCAAGGGTAGGGATGTTTACTGAATCTGGGCTCATCACATTTGTCTTCCGCTCGCTGTTCCTTCCTTCCGGGAAGTTAAGGATAGATGACGGACAATGCAGAAGATAGTGGTTGCAGCAGTTGATGCGAGGTCTGCCACCAATTATCCATCTTGTGTTCGAACCACCCTCAAATCCCTCATTTGGAATCCTGATAGCGGGATAGTTCGGTGAAATAAATCAGTTAAGGGCCGACGAACGGAAAGTTTTGAAAGGTAAGCAGTTGTTTGGAGCAATGCTCTATTGGCTTGTGATTCTTATTATGTTTATCAAAATATTTTATTAAGGCCGAAATAATTTTATTAAGGCCGAAATAATAATGTTTTCCCATGATATAAATACACTACCATTGTATACTGAATGTACATTTGTATAATGAATTTTATATGTTGTAACATTCGCGTAATGAAATGTAGCCTAAAAACTTTGACTTTAAAAAAAGTTCATATACATGAAGAGATAATCATAAATAGAAATTAAATAATGAAATATATACATTTCTTCTTTTGAAAAGTTTTTTTTTTCCTTCTTCTAAGAACTATTTTGAAAGGAAGCAATCAGAATAGTCTTAGAAATCGACGTATGATTTCAAGGGAGCCATATTTGGTTTAAATATGAATTTTATAGCATAAAATGCACTTGTTAATTTCCTTTCGTTAAATTAATGTTAATTACTTAACGATTAATTTTAAAGCTATTATCATGGAAGTTTGCTTCCATGATAATTTTTTTATCCTACATCCCCTTATAGTTATGATAAAATTCCATTAGAATGTTCGTATGTTTATAATGAAAGTTAAAAATTGAATGAAGACTTGTGCAGTTTTGCCTTGCTGTATGTTACTAAATTTGCAAAGTAAAATCCATTTCCGCACGTGTGTAAAAATGAAAGTTTTCTATTTATAATGATTAACAGCATTAGAAACAGGTGTAGATTTCAAATTAATTACAATCCAAATGTGGATTGTAAAACCTATATTTAAATAGTTATATCGATAAAATTTTAAAATAGAATAAAATTCTGAATTTCCCTTTATTTTCGTGCAGTAGATCTCATTAAAAAGAACTAATGCATTTATAAAATATTTTCTAATTTTGAGAAAATATTATTAGCGTTTTTGGATAATGGATATCCTCATTATTGCTTTCGAAAATTAAAGAAAGCGATTTGAAAGCACTAAATAACGGCTGTATAGATCGTACAATGTTCAATATCATAAAAATAGATATAAGTATATTTTAGTTGAAGAAGATAATATAGCTGGATGTAATCTGTCAAAAATTGAACCAACGTTCAGTTTTGCTTTCATTTTAAATATTTTTTAATATTTATGTAAATAGATAGATAGAAGATTTAGCTTTAAAATTAATCGTTAAGTAATTAACATTAATTTAACGAAAGGAAATTAACAAGTGCATTTTATGCTATAAAATTCATATTTAAACCAAATATGGCTCCCTTGAAATCATACGTCGATTTCTAAGACTATTCTGATTGCTTCCTTTCAAAATAGTTCTTAGAAGAAGGAAAAAAAAAACTTTTCAAAAGAAGAAATGTATATATTTCATTATTAATTTTCTATTTATGATTATCTCTTCATGTATATGAACTTTTTTTAAAGTCAAAGTTTTTAGGCTACATTTCATTACGCGAATGTTACAACATATAAAATTCATTATACAAATGTACATTCAGTATACAATGGTAGTGTATTTATATCATGGGAAAACATTATTATTTCGGCCTTAAGAGGACTCATACACCTTAAACCCCTTATGAGCTTCGAATTATGTGACCGTTGCAAGAATTGATATATTTTATTTATTTTAAAAGTAATAACCTCCAACTTTTTACAGCTGACTACATAATATAGCTGCTTTGGAAACTAGTAACCAGAACGTTTGCGTTGCCAAAATATTTTTGTAATTTAATCAGCTTTGTGACAAAATGTTTCGTCTTTTTTCCACCTTGCGCGCATGATATTTTAAAATGGATAATGGTACATACTTGAAATTGGATGGAATTCTTATATGGGCACTATTTTTCTAACTGAACCAAAAATATGATGAATATTTTAATATTAAAAAATTTTATGCACGAAATATTACAGATATTTTTAATAAAATACATTTATAAACTCAACTCCAAATGAAATAAAAATTTAACATGAAATTCTCAGTTTTTTTGTTTACAGTAGTTTCCTCCAAATGCTATAAAAGCTATATATAAACTATGGAATTAAATAATACAACAGATAACTTTAAACTGTGCGCACAAGGTGGAAACATGACGAAAATTTTTGTCACAAAGCCGATTAAATTATAGAAATATTTGTGGCAACACAAACTTTCTGATTACGATTTCAGCTATATTATGTAGTGAGCCATAAAAAGGTGGAAGTAATTGCTTTTAAAATCAATAAGTTACCTCAATTCTTGCAACAGTCACATATTCGAAGATCATAAGGGGTTAAAGGTATATGAGCCCCCTTAACATTTTTTTGAATTATGAAATTGCTTTAATAAAATGAGTACTTTATTATAATACCTTATTAGGAAACCAAATGTAAAACTATTGAAATGAAATTAAGAAATGTTAATATTTAAGAGGACTGTGTTTAAACGATTGAAAATTTGCAATGAACTTAAAAGAAGTTTAAAATTTGTACTGGGTTTGCATCCAAAAACGTACAATTTAAAATCGAAAACTAAAAAGAATAATACTTGCATAAAAATAAGTTAGTACATACGTGATTAAAGTCAATAATTAATCGTGATTAAAGTCAATAATTGCCGATTTCTAAGAAGAGGGTTAACTCATCAAAGAGGGATTAACTCTAGCTAAAAAAATCTGCAGTAATTCCGAAATTAATAATAATACAATAAAGAATAATGTATAATACAATAAAAAAAGAAAATCCGAAAGCTTTCAAATTTTTTATTACGCTCAAAAAGGGACTTTTTTTTTTTTTTTTTTTTTTTTTTTAACGTTTTGTATGTTACCTTTATCTATTAAATATCATGTTCATCGCTCTTAAACCACATAAAATTCAATTCAACAGCAATATCACAAAGTATTTAAAAACAACAAGACAGCATACCTTTAGAATTTCGGATACGTCTCGCTCGCTGGAGATAAAAAAAATAAAATTTCCCGTACAGTGTTGCCATTGCTCGCTTTGAAATCGTTGAGTTTGTTGATTAAAAATTCGTTAAAGTTTTAAAAAATTTGAAATAGATAATAAAACAAATTCGAAATTCAAAATTCGGGCTTTCGAATGCCCATGTTCGGCTGGAGGACTATGTTATTCAAAACTGGATGGCACTAGGTACCTTCGTTTTTTCACAGTGTAAGAAACGTACATGTATTCATGCAGACTCTTCATTATTTAGTTTTTTTAAATATAATAGATGGCGAGAATATTTGCTGGCAACTGTCTTTAAAGTGAATCAACGCAGAATAGCCCTTTACGTCTAACTCCCTTTTGGGCTAAAAAAAACCCGAGGTTAATGATAATAATTCTATACGTGTCTATCTATATATATATATAATGAAAGCTATTCTACAAGAAAACTTTTTAAAACATTTTATCATACATGTGTTCCCCAAATATAAAAGTTCGTAATGATAATATCATAGTCATTGCAAAGGTCTGTTTTGACTTCAGTATGTTTTCACTTCAGTATGTTTTCACTTCAAACTGTTTTCACTTCAGTATGAATAAAGTATAGTATATACGAGAAACAATACATTTTTGATGATATTTTACGAGATTTTAATTATTTTTGGCTATTATTTTTTAATTACTTTATATTTTTTAAATTATTTTTAATATTTTAATTTGTGGGTATTATTTTTTTTCTATTGTGGCTTATTCATGAATTCTGAATTATATATGAGCTACGTATTCTTCAGTATGTATTTAATGAATAAAGGTAACACACAAAACGTTAAAATAGTGCCCCTTTGGGCGTAATATAAAATCTGAAAGCCTTCAGATTTTCATTTATTTATTTATTTATTTATTCTTAAATGTGATCTCAAAATTTTACAAATGTGTGTAACCTTTGCTTCTACACAAATTACGATTAAGAAAAATAAAATGTGACAATAGTTTATCTGGGTCTAAAACGAAAACAAAAGTATTCAATTTCTCCTGTAGAATTAATTAATCAAGTTCCATGTATGAGAAGAAATATATATACAGGGTGTATGAGTACAGAAGTACAGGTGACAGACTTTCAGGAGAAATAGAGTACACCTAAACGATGGAAAATGACATAGCAATGCATTGATCATGCACTGAAACGCTTTCCTGACGTGGTCGTGACGACACAAAAAAAAAAAAAAAAAAAAAAAAAAAAAGAGGACACAAACAGTGAGACAAAACATGTTTTATTATGTTTAGTACAGCAGAAACCTACAAATAAGAACAAAAATAAACAACGATCGTCTTTAAAGGTGTTCCAAATTTCAACTCTGGACCGTGATGTGAGCTTCATTTCTTTGGTGCATGAAAAATGCATGATGCATGGTTCCTACATCACGGTCCGGGTCGTAATTTCGAACATCTTTGATGATGATTGTTGTCTCTTTACCTTGTTTTTCTTCGTTTTTGATGTATTCCGAATAATAAACATGTTTTCTCACCCTTCCTTTCTTTCTTGACTTTCTGAAAAGTCTAGTCTGAAAGTCTAGTAGTTTCTAGTCTGAAAGTCTAGTAGTCTAGTCTGAAAGTCTAGTCTGAAAGTTTACTAGTTTCTGAAAGTCTAGTAGCCTTCTTCCTTTCTTTCTTGACTTTCTTTTCTTTTTCTCTTTCTTTTCTTGACTTTCTCCTTTCTTTTTTCTTTTTCTTTCTTGACTTCTGTGTCATTTTAAAATTGCCCCCTTCGATTGCTATGTGATTCATATATAATTGCTTCTGCCTTATACACGGTGTATCAGTACAGCGGTGACAGCACCTAGACGATGCGAAACCACATAGCAATGCATGGTCGTAAAAGTTTTCCTGGCGGGGAAGTGACGACACAGAAAGCAAAAAAGGAAGGGCACAAACAGTGACACAAAACTGTTTATTATGTTAGTAAAGACAGAAAACTACATAAGAACAAAAACAGACAACAATCGTCGTGAAAGAAAGTGTTTAAAATTAAGACACGGGATCATGATGCAGGAAGCGTGTGTCATGCATCTTCCATGCACTGGAAATGTGAA